GCAGAGCCAGGATTCACATCCAGGCAGACAGGCTCTTGGGCTCACACTCTTCACTCTTACAGCCTGTTGTCTCTCCAAGGGAAAAATCTTAGGAAATTTTTTAAAAAGTAAAAACATACAACATGGTATGGTTTGGCTCTGTGTCCTCACCCAAATCTCATGTTGAAATGTGATCCTGAGTGTTGGAGGTGGGGCCCGGTGGGAGGTGATTGGATCATGGGGGTGGTTTTTAATGATTAAGCACCATCCCCCTAGTACTGTCTTATGAGATCTGCTTGTTTAAAAGTGTGTGGCACTTCCCCCTTTGCCCTTTCTCTCCTGCCACCATGTGAAGAGGTGCTTGCTTCCCCTTCACCTTCCTGAGGCCTCCCAGCCATGCTTCCTGTACAGCCTGCAGAACTGTGAGTCAATGAAACCTCTTTTCTTTATTAACTACCTAGTGTCAGGTAGTTCTCTATAGCAATATGAGAACAGACTAATACATAGCAATATGGTAAGAATCCATCTTATTGCTAAAATTTTAAATCACAAAGATAATTATTAGTAGTGAAAGTGCATGACTGTCCTGTTGGCTGTAAAACCTTCCATGTGATAGCATTATCGGCAAGTGAGGCTACAGAAGATAGCCCAACATTTTGGCTGGTGGACATGATGGGAAGAGCATTTGGGCCACGGTTATAAAACATGTGTCCCAGCATGATTACTTCTGGGTCTCAGAAATGGTGCACTCATCTCACCCCCGCTGTCATTTTACATATAAAGTATGTGAAGCCCAGAGAGGTTAGGTGACTCACCAGAGGTCACCCAGCAAATTATGGGGAAACCTAACCACTCAATTCAATGAATGCTTAACGTCACGTCTACCATTTGATTGAGTTATGTTCTTTGCATTAGAAGCCAGAGAGAAGCCCAATGCCAGATTAGGATGGGCCAAGTTAGCCCGCAAAGGGCTAGAACCAGTTCCTTCCAGGGCTCCAGTCACAGCCCGGGGCTATTTTCTGCCTAAGTGCAGCTGCTGCTGTGGGGTAGTCACTTAAGAGTTTTAGCCCTTGGCTCTCCTCAGGAGAGGAAAAAGGAAAGACCAGACTCCTACTGATCCTTTTGTGCGAGGGCCAATGAATACCTCACACCTTTCAGAAACTTCCAAATAACCCTCTGCCTTCCAATAATTCTAGGAGAATGGAAATTGACTCCCACCTGCCTCTCCTACCACCATTCAAGCTAATGGCTCGGGGAAAGGCCAGGGACCGCTTCTCTGTGTGTCTGCAGCCTCCTCCCTCTCACAGGCCCAGGATATTGATCATCTCCATCAGTGAGGTCACAGGACTGGGTGGGGAGGAGGCAGCTGCCCTGCAGGGGAACCTGAAGACAGCGATCTCCAGCCATGCAGCTGGGAAGTGGGGAGAGCAGAAGAAGGGGGACCAGGAGCCTCTCTGAGGGTCTGTGCTGAAGGCTTTCCAGTGAGGTGACAACGGCTTATTACAGCTAATTTCCTTCCCTTTGCTAGAACCAAAAATCCACAGGGTTTTTGCTGCATATTTGTGTATCTGGCACTCTCAGCTCACCTCCCCTTGGGGACCATAAGAGATGCAGAGGAAAGAAACAACATGGCCTTCCATAATTTCAAAGTCAGTTCCAGAGTTAATAATAAATTAAGAGCTGGGGGCGGGGTGGAAGCCTAGATGTGGCAGACCCGCTCTTGCAGCATAGACCAGCCCCTCTGGGAACACCTTCTGGAAGTCAGCAGGAAAAGTAGGTGCCCTGGGGACCAAAGATGCTGAGGTGGCTTCCCTACTGTGGAAGGCTTCCCCCTGGACCTCAGGTTTCTGTGGTACCCACGCCTGTGGGTGCCCACACCAGGATGGATGGGGATGGAGGTGGGAAGAACTGGAGAGTATTCTCTTCCACTTCTCTCCAGAGCAGACACCAGCCCCATCAGGGCACCCAGTAGTCCCACGGTCTCTGAGGAGGGGGAGCATGGCTGTTTCAGAGAGAACAGGAAGACTTCTCTCCCTGGAAGACAACTGAACCCACTCACCTCTGAGGAGGTTTCCAGACCAGCCGCCATGCCGGTTGGAAATCCAACAGTCCCAAATGCCTGTGTGATTTTGTTATTCATTCTTTAGGTCCTAGGAAGACTATCTCCCAGACTAGAAGCTTCCTGGAGACCAGGGCCTCTGACGTCTGACTGGAAGCTCAATCAGTTCTTGTCAGAGCTAGAGCGTGAGGGGACTGGGGAGCAGCAGGGAGGATACTAGGCAGGTTTTGCCCCAAGTAGGTGGAGTGGAGGGTGGACAAGATCACTGCCCTGAAACATCTGAAGGGCGGTCCTGTAGGCATGGAGTTCACACCTAGGCCAACAAGAAGAGCTAGGATGAATGAGAGATGACACAAGGGACTCGACTTGGGATCCAGAAAAGGGTGAACTTTCTGGGAGTGGCTCAGCAAGAGGCAGTGAGCCTCCCACTTCGGGGGTGGGGGTGCTTCTTGGGAGGGGTCTGGAGCACAAGGTGGTGGTCAGACCAGGCGGCTGTTAAGATCCTTACCAAGCCCAAGAGTCAGTCCATGATGGATAGATGTTCTGGTCTCTTCCGCCCCTACACCTAGAGCTCCCCCTCCTGACTACACAGAGAGGGACCAGAGGCAAATGTGCAGGAGGACACAGGAACCCAATCCCAGCCAGGGAGGCCACCAAACAAATCAATCAGGCAAACAGCCACAGACAGAGGATGGACACAGCGGTGGCTGGTGTGGGGATCTGTCCTCCTCTTCCCCACCCCATGGCCTAGAGGACAGTCCCCGTGTCTGCCAGTTGAACAGGCTAATAAGCAGGAAAATCAGTCTTCCCTGCCAATGGAGAGAGTGTTCTGTCCTCTCCACTGCAGGGGAGCGAGGCCTCAGCTCATCCTGCATGCTACAGGGGACCACTCATTCTTCACAAGGAAAATGGAACAGCACAGAGCCAGGGTGTGACTTGCCCACAGCCACACAGCTCACATGGCTGGTAAGAGGAAGGGGTGAGGCAGAGCCCAGGACTCCTACCCTACTGCCAGCCAGTATTCTTTCTCCTGCCCTTGCCTGCCCCTGTGTCACCATCTGCTCCTACAGCAATTGGGATTCCTTTTAAAACATATGTTCATCTCAGGCAGGTCCCAAAGTGGATGGAGAAATGATATATATGTTCTTTGCTGGCCCAGGAAGAGCTGGCAGAAAGAGCTCTTGACATTTCTGGGATACCAGAAGCATTCCTGGGATGCATGGTCCCCATGCTTCCTTCCCACTACCATATTCTCTCCCGAGAACTGCGGAAGCATGGATTTGTCATTCTTCTCCTCCCTGTGCCCATCTGCTTCCTTCCAGGAGCCCCTCCACACCGTGAAGGCCAGACCAGCTCCTCCAGTTCCTGATGGGCTGTTAACAAGAAACTTGGAGGCCAGACCTCTATGCACACTGCTGAGGAGACCAGGGCAGTTCAGGACTGAACACAGCCAGATGTGTTCAGCACAGACCATGACCTCTCCCCGCCTGCGAGGAACAGGAACTAGTTCTGGAACTAATCCACATCTGAACCCAGACCCCTGAAGTCCACCCTCCTTCACCCACCAAAGCAGACAGCTGCGTCCCACAGCCTGGGCCCCTCCTCCACTACCCAGACACTGTCTGAGGCTGGAGACTGGAGGCAGTGACCTCTGGGGATCCCTTGCCTGAGGTTTCTGGTTCCATCAATCCCAGGGAGCTGGAGAAGGAGAGCGGATTTCCCTCCAGGACTCCCGCGGATACCGACCCGAGCACATCAGCTAAAGTCCTCGAAGCAGCGCATTCACAGGCTCCAGAACAGGGCCTGAGGGTCCTATCCCCTCCCCCACCCCTGCCCCTCCTCTCAGACCCAGGGCAATTTCCCTACAAGTGTGCTCACGCTGGGCCCTCTGAGCCACGGCGCCAATTGACTGGATTTCAATCAGAAATCCATCTCCCTTAAGGACCGCTTTGGATAAAAGCAGAAGTAACCTGCAATCTAGATGCTGATGCCAAGCCATAATGGGGAAGCCGGAGAGAAGCCGGGCCCAACTCGGCCCCAGCCCCCAGCTAGGACGAAATCAGGCCTCAGCTGAAGCGGACTCAGCTTCCAGGGCCCGAGGAAAAGAGCCTGAGTTCCCTCCATCTCCGCCACCAGCTGCCACAGGCTAAATCCTCGAGCCTGCCGATGGGGTTAGCCGGCTGCTAGCCGTATTAACAGTCGGCCAGGGGCCGGGGACCAGTCTTGCACCCCTGGGCAGGCCCTCTGTGTGGTTCCCAGCGCGCGCCCAACAAAGGCCCTTACAGGCCGGCTAAGGAGGGTCTGGGTGTCCTTAAGAGCCAGGAGGAGCTGCGGGCTCAGCACTTGTTCCCACCTACCAACCCCCAACCTCATCGCCAGCTGCCGCTTCCGCCCCTGAGTCCTCTCCGGGCTATATTGCGGTCAGGAAAGGGTCACTCCGAGAGAGCGGGGCTGCTCCAATGCCCCTCCCCGCGCCCCGGCGCCTCCAGACCCCGCACTGCGGGCGGGTCTCTAGGGACAGGAGGAACCCCGTGGAGCGCTGTTGGCTCTGGTGCGCAGCACGGACAGCCTCCCTGGTAAATAATGCACGCCTCCCGGGCCAGGCTGCAGCAGGTAGTGTATCAAAGTAATATCGCGCTGCGAATTGCAGTGTAATCGCCGTAATTTAGGGCTCCGTGGGTGAGCCCGTTTCGGAAGGGCTGCGCGCCCGGACGGGCAAGGTGACTTGAGCGTCTGCGCCGGCTTTGACCTCTGGATTTCCTCCAAGCTAAGTGAGCCCATAAAAAATGGAGAAGCCCAGGCTGTCTCCCAGCAAATGGGGTGTGGGCAGAGAGATTGTATTATCTATCCAGACCCAGCGAGATGGATGCACCTGCCGGGAGAAAAGCGATGTCACTGCGCGCACAGCCCTGCAGGTTGGGTATCCGCGTGCGGCGCCCATCCTCTCCCAGGTGGCCGAGAAGGCCGGGCGATGTGTCGGCTGCGCCCTGCCAGGAGCTAGATGTTTTCATTAGGACTTGGGCGGCCCCTGCCGCCGTGAGCTGGAGGATCCGTGCCTCCCACGAGCTGTTCAGCAACCACCTTCCAGGGCCCCCAGGACCTGACTGTGCCATGGCCGCTCCTCCTCCCTCCTGTTGTGCTGGGAAGTTGGGGTATTAATATTCCTGCCCAGGACCTCCTGGGGGCCTGCTGCTCGTCTCCCCTTCCCCAGTTCTACCAGGGAAAGTCATTCTAGGGTGGAGAGATGATAGCAGAAAACGTGTTTGCAGGCTCCCTTCTAACTTCTTGATGGGAGCCAGCTGGAAGCGCAAAAGCTGTGTTGTTCCTCTGTGTTCTGCTCCTGGTGACCTAGAAGGCAATAATCATGAGCCTGTCTCAGGAAAGACAAAGAAACGGAAAAACTTACTAGGGGCGGCAGCCCAGTCACATTGCATCAGCAGAGAGCCTTGTGTCTGCGGCCTCACCTCGGTGCCAGGCAGGGTGTTTTGAGTATCTTTAGAAGCCCCCGCCCCCACCCCATGCCTAATTCCTTTAGAAGCCCCCGACCCCACCCCATGCCTAATTCCCCGATCCAGGAGTTACTGGTTCCTCCTCACCCATCTCTAAATCATTTTACGTCCCTCATTGAAGAGCTGGGGCAGATACCCAGGCTTCCTAGTCTGAGAATCTGCTGATATTCCCCAGCCCTGTTCCACACCCACCTCCAGCTTTTCCTTTTGCCTAGGTGGTGGGCTCTGAGCTAGTAGGGGGACCTTGGAAACCAGCAGTTCTGGTTAAACAAGCCAGAGTGCATCCTTCCCGCAGAACATTCTGCAGCAAGAATGAGGGAGATTTATGTGTATGGGGACATGGAAAGATGTCCAGGATATATTGTTAAACAGAAAAAGCAAGTTGCAGAATAGCATGTAAAGTACAGTCTCATTTGTGTTACATTTTAAATAAAGGCTATATATACTCACATGCTTGCATATGCATAGAAAATGTCTGGAAAGATAAAAAGAGACTGTTAGCAATGGTTGTCCCACGGGATAAGGAGAAGCAGAAAGGGACTTTAACCTCTCATCTTACTGTTATGTACTGTTAAATTTTTTTAACAATTGTATTACTTTCATAATTTAAACATAAATCTTTCCCCTCCCCCCCCACAAAAAAACAACAATCTCTCAGCGCAACCCCTTCTTATGAAACTGAGGCCCAGAGAAGGAAAAGGACTTTCCCAAGTTGCACAGCACTTATAGCTTGGCCTCAGCCCTGGTCCTGCCCTCTCCTCACCCCAGGCACACAGCTCTGCCAACCAGACCCACCAGACCCATGAGGGAATCATGAAATCCACTTCCCAGAGCAGGAAGGGCCCCTGACTGGGGTGCGACCTTACTTGAGGGAGCGATCAGATAAAGGCAGGGGATCCCAAGACGAGAAGTAGAGACGGATTTGGAACCTGGCTGGACGGCCTGCACTTGCCCGTGACCTTATCCAGCCACCACCAGCCCAGTCTTCTGACACAGCTGGCTTCTCTTGGTCCAGAGTTGGCTGGAGTAGGGACTGAAGGTTCATGCCTAGGGTGACCTACCATCTCGATTTGTCCAGGACTGAGCGGTTTCCTGTGACATGGGACTTTCATTGCTAAAACTGGGCAATCCCGAGAAAACAGGAACAAGCCGGTCACCTTTGTCTTGCCAGACATGTCCGCAGCAACCTGCTAAGAGCCTGGCAAGGACACCTCTGCGTAACTCAAGGGCAAAGCTTCTAGAAGGTTGTCTCTGGGCGGAGAGAGCCAGCCCCTGCTCTGACTTTTCTGAAAAATACGAAGCTGCAAGAGTTAATTTACATTTTGTCAGTTGTGTTTTCTCCTTGCATTCGTACACACATGCACACACACACACACACACACACACCGCTTCTAGTCTCCCTTAGTCTACTGAGAGGCATGTCCACCGGGGCCCAGAGATACCACCCAGAGCCCACTGAGTCTCTTTGAGCAACATAATCCTCAAGACATCGTAGAGCCTATAATTACACATGGGATGCGGCGCGATTTCTCATCTCTCCCTCCCCACCCCAGGAGACAAAAAGGAAATTTCACACCCTAGTGAGCCAGGCTCATCTTTTCCTCTTTGATGCCAGCCTGGGGTTAAAAAGCAGGGACAGACGACACACACCTCCTCTGGGGCCTGATTCCTTGGCTGATTTTGAGATTCAAAGCATGCATCTTAAAGATCATAATCTGATTGTGCTATGCCCGCCTTCCCGGCCGATTAATGGCCTCCTGGCTTCCGCACTGCAGCACCCAGTGCTCTGCAGAAAGTCACCTCCCACACCCCAGCCCCACCTGAGTCTGGCAACCCAGAGCAGAAAAGGCTAAGGCTAAGCAGGGGGCGTGTCAAGGAATGAACAGAGATCTAAGTTCAAGTCCTAGTCCTGTCGCTAGCTAGCTGTGTGACTTTAGATAAATTGCTTGCCCTCTCTGGTCTTTGATTTCCTCACCGTGAAATGAAGATATTGACCTACACGGTCTCTAAGGCCCTTTAGACCCGATAAACCAGACTTCCTTGGTTAAAATCCTGACTTCTCCTTCTAGGTGGGTAAACTTGGGCAAGTTTCTTCACTTTCCTATGCCTCTGTCTTCATCCACCTCATTGTGTTGTAGTAAGAATTAAGTGAGTTAACATTTTAAAAGTGCTGAAAACAGTGCCTGGCACATGCCAAAGCACTTGTGGCAGGGACATTGGTGCTCTGTCTTTATACCCCTGGCACTCACTAGTCCCATGCCTGGCTCTTGTGTGTTTCTCTGCCCTGCCTGATAGGTTTCTTTGATTCCCTCCCATACTCCTACCCTGTCACGCCAGTGTCCTTGCCCTGAGCTCCAGGCAGGCTGGAAGTACAAGGAGTTTAAATGACTCAGAGTAGCCCTCAACCTGATAACTGTAGGGAGTTGGCATATAAATACCCCAGCAGTCCCTCTGAGATAGCTCTGAGGCTTGTTCTGCACAGCCTCACAGAGGTACAGCAGGATTGAGCCCTGTGCCCAGGAGACTAACTGCTCATTCCCACACCTTTTACTGTCTTCCTTCCTGCCCCAGCTTCCCTACCCAGTGCTCCCCAGGATCAGTCTCCAATAAACTACTTGCACCCAAATCCTTCCCTCAGTTATTACTCTGTGCTAATGCACTTTACAAATGTACCTTCGTTCTTTTTTTCTTTTCTTTTTTTTTTTTTTTTTTTTTTTTTTTGAGATAGCATCTCACTTTGTCACCCACACTGGAGTGCAGTGATGCAATCATAGCTCACCACAACCTTCAATTCCTGGACTCAAGAGATCCTTCCACCTCAGCCTCTCAAGTAGCTAGAACTAAAGACATGAGCCACCACGTTTGGCTAATTTTTAAATTTTTGGTAGAGGTGGCGTGTTGCTATGTTGCCCAGGTTGGTCTCAAACTCCTGTCCTCAAGTAATCCTCCTGCCTCGGCCTCCAAAGTGCTGAGATTACAGGGATGAGCCACTGCGCCTAGCCTACCTTCGCTCTTCAAAGCACCTGAGAAGTGAGTGTGATTGTGCCCATGTTACAGATGTGGAAACTGAGGCCAATGGAGGCTAAATGCCTTGCCCCAGACCACACGGCAGGTGAGCGGCCCAGCTGGGATTTGAAGCCATGTCTGTCTGACTCCACAGACTCTACATCTCCATCCGTCTCCCTCTTTTCCCTCTGAGGGGCTGGATCTTGCTTCAGAGACGGAAACCTCATTCCTTCAGAGGTACAGCAGCAGCTCCTTTGCTCCAGGCAGAGAGCAGAGGCACAGGGCTAGGGCCATCTGTGGTATTTTCTCCCTTTCCAGTCACACTCATAGAACCCTTGGGTGGCACAGTCCCAGGCAGAGCAATCAGGCACTTGGTACCACAGCCCCAGTTTACATGCAAACACGTGGAAACCCTTGAGGGAAAGTGGCCTCCCAAAGTGCCAGGATTGGACCGAGCTGCTGCCTGCCCCAAGGGGATGCAGCACTTCCTGGTCCCCAGCTGAGCCCCGTCTCAGCCCCTGCAAGTGTGTGCTGATGGCAAGAGCAACAGGCCATGTGCCTGAGACTTGGGGAGCCAAGCCTCACATCATCCCCTCAGTGCAGAGAGCTCACTTCAGACCTGGCCTTATTACAGTTTTTGGCTTTATACATATCAATAGCTTTTATAGGCACATGGTTCCAAATCCACAAAAGCCTTCCTCTTTTCCTGTGCCCCAGCTTTCCTCTCTGAAGACAACAGCCACTGTCACTGATCTGCTATGAGTCCTTCCAGAGATAGTCTATGCACAGACAAGCACATAAATGCAGTCCTTCCAGAACATTCTTTTTCTCTAGAACAAAATGTCTTGGAGATCTTTCTGTGTGAGTACAGAAAGAACTTCCTAATTCCTTTTTAAAGCTATATAGTATTCCAGTGTATTTATGTCTCATAATTTATTTAACTAGTTCTCAGTGAATGGAGATTTGAGTTATTTCCAATCACTTACTAATATAAATCTTGTAGGTAAGTTATTTCACACACTTGGAAATATAACTGTATGAAAAGTAGCTAGAGATAGAATTACTGGGACAAGAGGAATGCACATTTGTAATTTTAAAAGATGTGACCAACGGACCTCCAAAGGTGCTGAGCCATTTACACTCCCACCGGTTATGTGCTGTGCTGAGGCCCAGCTGCATGCCAGGCATGGTGTGCATTATCGACTTTGGTCTCACTACATTCCTGGGGGGTGGCACTATTATCCTTACTTGATGAGAAAATTGAGGGAGTTCAATTTTGCCCAAGAAGACCCAATAAACGTTTATTTCATTACATGCTAGGGTCTGTGCTTTACATGTATTATCTTATTTAACCTTCATAATAGCACTATGAGGTAGGTACTTTTACCATCACTGCTCATTTTCCAAGTGAGTCTAGTATTGGAGCTCAGAGAGATTATGTAGCTTTCCTAGCATCACACAGCCAGTGGTAAGTGGCAGAACCAAATGTGAGCCTGGGCTCTCCCTGCTCCCACCAGGAGTCTATCACTGGCTTCCTGCTTCCTGCCTTATGTGTGCCTCAAACTCCTCTAGTTTGAGGGACGGTGCAGAGTCCCCTGGAAGCATCAGAGAATCGAGGAGTCAGCAATTGCTAGAAGGTAAGAGCTGGAAAGGATCATGAAAGGGGCAGGGAGGGTGGGACCGGAAATACGAGGGGTGGTTGCCTCGATGTTTGGGAGAGGTGGGGCTGCTGGGATGCTAGATTGTTGTACCCTGCCTGGGATATTCCTTCCCCCCACATGTCCATAGTGCCCCCTATTGAGAAATTCTGCATTTCATTTTGCAGATGCAGAAATAAAGGGAGGATCCCCTTGGAAAAGGCACAAGAGTCCTGCATTGGAGGCAAAGCCAGGATGAGAAATCGCTCTGCGGGGAATCTGGGTCCCACCCCTCCAGGACCAGCACTCTGAACTCTGCGTGGGGCTGCCTCCTGCACAACTTGAAATAAAATGAACCAGACCAAGCAGGCTTCGTGTGGGAGGAGGGCTCACTTACCAAGCACCTGCTGTATACACATAATCATTTAAGTTCCATGATAGCTCTATCCCTTTACAGAAGAGAAGATTGGCACTAAGTCCCCCAGCTGAAGGAGGGTGTCGGAAGGCAGATTTTGGGAGGCCTGAAACCCAAGCAAAGGGCTTGATGTTGACTGCGATATTGAGTACAGTGAGTTAACAGGGCTCTAGAAACAGGTTCTTGAACCAGGACATAACTTACATGACTTGATCAAATTCGTGCTTTAGGACACTCACTCTGGTGGCAGTGCTTTGCACATGCCATTCCCCCTGCTTGGAATGCCCTTCCCAGACTTGTGTGCCCCAAGAACTGCAGCTCGAAGCTCTCTGTGGAGCATCCCCTGAACCCTGATCCCCCCGAAGGCAGGGGCTGGGTTTTAGCTTTTCATCCCCAAGCTCTGGTCTAGTGTGAGGCACATCATGGGAGCTTCATAAATGTTTATGGGATGAAGGAATGGAGTGAGGAAGGCCTGACGGAGACAGTGGCAGCAGGAAGGAAAGGGAAATGTGAGAACAAGGGAAAGGAAGATGGACAGGGCCCCTTGACCAGTTAGATGTGATGATAACAGCTTATACCTTTTATAGCAACTGTTGTATACCAGTTTTTATAAGGGAGGCACTATTAGCACCTGCATTTGACAAATGAGGAAACTAAGACTCGAAGAGAGTACACAGCTAGTTGGTGCTTGAGGTCATATAACTCGCAGGCGGTAGAGCCAAGCTTTGAATCCAGGCAGGCTAACCCAGGATTCATGCTCTTAACTTCTGGTCTGTTTTGTACAACTTACAAGGACAAGCAGGTAGTAAAGTCAAAACCATCCATCCTGGAAAACTGGATAATGATGCTCAGAGTTCCAGGTCTTCTGATCTCTCATCTGTTGCACTGTCTGCCAGGTGACCTCCTTCCATTCATCACCTCCTTAAAGGCTCAGCCCAGCACCCACCAGGATCCAAGCTCGGTCTCCACAGAATGTGCTGCCTGGACAGAGACTCAGTGTGCAGACATGCGGGTGGGGGACATGTGGGAGCGCAGGCAGGAATCTGGGTCCCACTCCTCAGGCTCTTGGCCTGCCCCAGCAGGCTCCAGGCAGGAAGCCAGTCCAGCCTGCTGTGCCCTGTCTCTGCTGCACCTCCTCCCTCACCCAAGTCACACTCCACACGCTCAGGTTCCTTTGTGGTGGGTGTTTTGATTAATTTTATTCTAATTAATTCAGTAATCTCAAGCT